TTATTGTCTCAATACCTTTAAGGCCAGCCTATGTTATTACTCCATATATGGACGTTTTGAAACAGAAGTCATAGCAAATACCTTTATGATTAACAGAGAAACTGTATTAATAATGCAGAGCTTCTGAAGTCCTCTGTCTTGCAGCTGATTACAATTAGATGCAAGTATTGTAATTGGCAAAGTTAATGTACTGTGTATAGTATTACTGGCTGAGAAGCTATGAGACAAAAGTATTTACAAATTTTACTGATCATCTATTCCTAAATTATTCTCCTTTTCGAAAAACTGAATCCAAATTACTCAGGGGTAACTGTAAAAGCAGCTCAGTAAAAACATGGGCTTAAGCCACAAGAGCTGAAGTAGCTCTAATGCCATTTAGAGTATTTAAGAGAAAATTTCTCTAATGTAGGCAGATACTAAGTTCTGTTCCCTTTTTTTGCGCTTTGATCTTCTCTGCAGTGGAGAAATTTACCCCGTTCAATAGTACTTTTATATCCACTGATAATTTGCAGTTTACCTTACATTTAGCTGATACCTGTCCTGAGATACCAGTATCAGTGGAGTATTCTTTGCTTGGTCTATTGACAGTTTTAATTTTTGCTTCCACTGTGAGTGAAGGAGGCTGGCTGAATGATTTCATACATTGCTGTTGTTATGCCACTTTGTGTGGCTGAGCACCTGAAATCTCTGCATAGTGCACTGCTTCTGGGTATGAGAAAGTCATATGCAGGTACCTAAATGGAAAGCATTGCAACTTATGTTTTAAAATAGATTTACTGTGACTGGGACAGGATTTCCTAAAACAATTCCATAAGAATAAGGGCGGGGGGTGGTATCTGTGCATAAATGACTTACATGCACGATTCAACAGCAAATAGTTAAGTCCTCTAGCACTGGTGTTTTGTTCATAAATAATTTCTCTGCATTCATATGGATTTGATGAGGTGATTATGAAAAACTGAATTCGAGTAGTATAGGTAGTTGAAACAGTTGCCATCTTTCAGGTGGAAATTACTAATTTATCAGCGGAAACTCCATAATTCCCTATGCGCGTGATCCTTGTGTCTGGCAAAATAAAATAAAAATAGGCTGGTATCAAACACCTTCAGTGGTTTAAATTCATTTGTTTTACTTCCAGCAGATAGGGAACTGGGTTAGGGAAGACTGAAACAGGTCAATTTACAAGGGAGCTATCAAGATGAAGATATCTATTGATAGGTTTTCCAGCTCAGTCTTATGACTGAGCCCATTTACTGTGTTAATTATTGACCCTGGACGAAGAACTATGTGTATGCTTATGGAATTTGTAGAATGTGAAAAGTTGGGGGATACTGTAAAAAAAAGGGGAAGCTGCAGTTTAATGATATAAGAATTCGATCATCAGGCAAGAATTAGATGATCTTGTCAATTTTGATGATAGAAATACAATCAAATATAATAATCTCTTGTAATCCACATTTAGGGATTGGTTGTATTTACCTTTCTTAGTAGAAAGAAAAATGGTTCATTTTCCAGAATCACTTAACAATTCACCTAGCAAAAATATCCTGCTGTTAAGTGATTATAAGGCCTTAGTATGCAGCCATACATTTTTTTGTCTTCCTGTAGATTATTGTAGTTGTGGCTTTTCATCTTTTATTCCCAAATGTATCAGGAGTTTTGTTTGTCCTGTGGTAGGAGATGTTAGTGGAAGTTCTGCTGATCTTTCTTGCCTTTTTGCCAGTAATTGAAGAATAGATGTAACCTGGGTTACAGTCTGTACCAGCCTAATGTTCTTACATACCATTCCAGCTCCACTGACTTATGTTAAGTGATGTAGGAAAGCTTTTTACTGTTATGTCTATAAAAATCAAATCTGTATAAAAGAATATCTACCTATTCTCATATCCATAAATAAAAGGGGAATTTTTTTTAGTGGCAATATTTTTCTTCATTGAAAAAAAAAAAAAAGTGATGTATTAAATGATTTTGTGTGAATTATAGTACAAATTAATTTGATACCAATAAAAGACATGTTTTGGAGTTTCTGATTTACCTGTTTCTCATATCCTATTTAATTTCTGTCAAGGTTATTGTCATAATTTCTGTAAAGTTTATTGATATAATAGACATCTGTGCTTTGTACTTAATGTCATACTTGTCATATTGTGCTATGTAAATAGTAATCATCTCAATTGTTAAAAAATAATAATTTTTTTAAAAGTAGAGATAAAATTTTGGGGGAAGAGATCCATTGTAAGTACTGTTTTATATTTTTATGTTATTTGATGTTTATTATATATATACCTAGAATTCTTGTGCAATTTTACAAATCAGTTTAAGAAAATAGGACTACATTTTCTATTCTGGTCCTTTACCTTAGTCTGACAGTGCACAAAGCCCTTATGATGACTTCCATTTTTTTTTATTTCCACTTCAAACCATTTTTACTACGTTCTTTTCCAACAATATTTTTTTTCCAAGCCACATAAAAATGTTCTGTGGATAAGAGGTAACAGGTGTTATTAAAACACTGATTGACTAGAGCTATCTTGATAGGCAATACTTACTCTTTATCCTACGTTCTATTAAGAAATCTGTCAAATACTTTCTTTACAATTATAACACTTACTGAGTTTGAACGAAACCTTATAAACAGAAAACCACGTTCCCTTCCCAACTCTTAATGTAGGCTGCACATTCTAATTCAATGAATGACATTTATTTACATATATAATTATATAACTATTTAATTTTATAAATTAATTTGATTTTATAAATATTTATATCTGTTATAGTGTATTTATATACACTATATTTATATATGCAAATATACAATGTAAGGTATATTATGCTTTATTTTTATGTTTTTTATGTATTATGTATTTATATAATGTATGTATTATTTTTATATTTAAATTTATAAAAAGAAAAAGTCATGTGAACTTAATGCTGTATTATGAAATTGTTTGGAAAATTCACTGTGTATGACTATAAAATGCTTCAGGGGAAATATGAATGAAGTTTACTGAGAATTTTTTTGACAATATGGTTTTGTCAGATTCTTAAATCCCCCACTTTCTTGGGAAGTTATACTTTTTTGATAAAGATTAAATATACAGTCAAAACAAAAAGAATGTTTGATAGCCATATGGTGAGGATGCTTGTTTATGAAAAGGGAGACGGAGGTTTAGGTCTATGTTCTGCCTATCTGGATTAATGCTAGCATCAACTCTGTACTTCTGGTGTTTGTTTGTTTATTTGTTTTTCCAGACTTTCTTTTTGACATCTGTTACATGTGGTAGAAATCCTTAAATATTTATAGAAGTTAGTACCCTGCCATCACCTCTGGGCTGTAATTTGATTTTAAATTAATCTGAAATACCCTCACTACTGGAAGCAATATAATTAGATCTGCTAACTTTCTACAGACCCAACACATTGGGTCAAAGTGGGAATACTGGTGATGGGAGGCATTTGTCTCTTTGCCAGGTCTTGTGAAGTGACAGAGGTGCACACCTGTGGGCCAGGGCATATCTCAGTGCCCACTCTTACAGTGGGAGGAGGTGACTTCCAGCAGAGGGTCTTTCAGCACATATGCTTATTATAAGATGTATTGCCCAAGTGTACCCCATCAGATTTGGCACATGGCGTTCTGAATCACAAGAGATCGTATAGCACTTGTCCTGTGGACATATGAAGTAGAACATAAGAGGTGAGAAGGGCTTAATTCTATGTAGCTTTGCTAACCTGGAAATTCAGATCTAAAACTAATAGAACAAGAAGTTGTACTGTCATCTTCTACATCTTAACGTTTTGTGACCATTGTGCTTTCCATGTCCTTCTCCCATGCTCTTTCTTTTACTCCGTACTTGTTCACGTGTTCTTGATTTTATCAAGGGGCCTAAAAGAATTTTTAAAACTTTCTAAGGACAGGAGCACCATTTTCTGTGCAGCATTAAATTTTCATATGGAAAATAGCTAGAATTAAATGCTTGCAAGTTATTGTGTATATTTGTATTTAAGAATTTGGGTACAATGTACTAATTGTGCATTTATTAGGAGATTGCAAACTGTAAATCAGAGCTGGTCACTAGCATATAGAATATGCATTAAGATGTCTGCGACACTAATGATATAATATTTGTGAATGTGCATACACACACACACATATATAGTAATGCAGCAAAATTACTGGAAGGTTTTTGTCTAGTCACAATTTATGTGTAAGGACTAATTTCAGTATGTGTCAAAAGCTATCCTGAAAAGATGCTTTTAAATTTTAAGTATTTAAACTTAGAATTGTTTTAATATATCCTTATTTTTCACCATTAGGGAACATTGGTATTGAATGAAGTGGATAATGAGGTGGTGATACTGTCCAGCACTCAATGGATATGGAAGCAGAAATAGCCAGGCAAACATTACCAGAGATATTTAACTTTTAAAATATGGTTTGTAGGATGATTGAATTGGTGCATTCAATCTGATGCTTACTCATTTTGTATTAAACCATAGTGCAAAGTTGTTTTTATCAACCACAAAATGCTCAGCTTATTATGTATTAGTGTACTATCAGAAATATGTGTTTTTTCATACACTTTTATAGCCAGCACCTCACAAGGAAATGTTGTGGCTAATACATTTAGCCACCTTAGACTTTTCTGTCTTGAGAGACTACATATCCATTTATAACTAGGTAAACAAAATGTTTTCTGACAATAGCTTCAAACAAGATTTGAACCAAGACAAAGATTTGGATTAATCATCAGGTCCAAGCTATTTCTAGTATTAGTGTACCATAATAACCCTTGAATTAACAATTTCATATTAAATTTTTCAGATAATACAATGTTGGATTGTATTTGTCTAAAAAATGAATGCATGAGCAGAGGTGATTATTATTTCATGTGTTCGCTTGCCATTTACTATTAAATGAAATGTCTTAAGCCATAAAATGTTCACATAATGCACAATGCATTTATGATAATTAAATAGATATCTTCATTTACTGTTTTTAGGTTAAATTTTTTCCGAGATGTTCCTGAGTTCAGAGTACTAGCATGTGGTGGAGATGGAACAGTAGGCTGGATTTTGGATTGCATAGGTAATCAATAGCATTTACATAGTTCTGCTTGACTCATGTTTTTCATTTTACTGCTCTTTCCTATATACCAAAGTATGGATACAGCTATTTCAAACAAGATCTTGTTCATTGAAATTTTTGAAATTCTTTAGTTTGGGGCATTATTATTTTTAAGGATATTCAAATTGCAAAGGATATTCAAAATCCCTAGATAAGTCCAGTGTTTGTAGTCCTCTGGATTTCCAGAAAACAAGACATTTGAATCAATCTATTTTAATTTCAGTTCAAAGTCTATTCCCCAGACTGAATCAAACGTAAGTTATTTCTTTTAAGACCATTTACCTTAGCTCATTTGCTTTTTCAGTTACCAAATTTTTGTTTATCCTCCATTATCCCACAATGGAGATAATGGGATAACAGTCTTTTGAAAAGGACTGTTTGACAGCTATGTAGATGCCTGTGCAGCAAGGTATGTACGTCATTTCAGTTTTGGAGTTCTTTCAGTCAGTTGGCTGTAAAGTCCTCTGTACAAATCATTAGGAAGGCCCAGAAGTCATGATATTACAGACTTAAACTTCTCAAGGCTTATTAGGGAGAATATCTCCCACACCACTTGGTTGTTTATTTGGCATTAGACGGGCTGCAGAGAAAAAAAAATGTGAACGAGTGATGATGGGAATTAGGAAGGAGATGAAGAGAGGTCAAAAGCATCAACTGAAAGTTTCAATGACGAGTATTTAAAAGTGTGTGCTTTGTGGAAGGTGTGGACCAGAAAACCTTTTAAAGTTCAATGAAAAATAAAAATGATGTCATGGAGAAATGGATTACAACAAAGGCATATGTCTTGGTTTGGGGAAAAAAAAAACTTTTTGCAAATATAAGCTATTGATTGTAACTCTGGAATAGCTTTCAAAATCGAAAAATCAATGTACATAAATAACAAGTGTATTGCCTAAACTTGGAAGGAGTGAAGTTTTGCAGCTGTTAATTGTGTCATCACCTTTTTCTATGAGATCTAAAATGCCATGCAGTTACTTTCCCTTTCAGTGTCATTATTTGAACAAAAGACTGCATTTTGTCTTAATAAAATACTATCATCTGCATCACATTCTGTGGTACAGAACTAAGAAATAATTTGAAGGATCCAGGATCCATTTGTTTCATAGGTGCAGGAAATAGATTTTTGAATGCTGTCTTTTAGAGAACAAAGCCCTTTGGCCCAAGTAGTGTATATAAAGTTTAAGAAATCACCTGTTTTGAGAAACAGACACTTTCTAGTTGGATCTTTTCTTCCCTGATCTGATCTACAAAGAATCTTAGCTGAGAGCAAAGCAAGAAGAAAAAATAAAAAGAAACAAACCACATAAAAAAGAAAAAAAAAAAAAGCTTTTTTCTCCTCAGTTTAAGACTTTTAAACTACTTTTTTTATTATTATTCTATTAAATGTTAAATTCTCTTAAAGCTTTGCAGTACACTGGTATTGTAAACACTAAGTCTTCCTAAAGAATTGAAGAGAGAAATTGATAAATAACAAGATGTCCCTGCCATGTCCATTGGATATATAAACTCCTGCTGAGAATTGATGATAATTATGCAAAATTCTATGAACGAAATAGCTAATTGTTTAACTATTCAAGTATAACTGTTAAACTAGACATGCTACTCATTCCAATTAAATGGGAAATTTGACAAATTATATATTTAAAATATTATACCTGGGGGATATCTGCCCCACTTCCAGCTTTCAGAAAGGCTGTATTTCTTGACAAGGGTTTTCCCATTGGATTTTGAACAGAGATCCTTTGGCTTGAAATGCTGGAAGAGTACTGGTAAAGAGTCAAAAGACACAGTAAGTTCATACATTTCAAAATGTTACTTATTAAATACAAAATATTGACTTAGAGACTTGATCAGATAGATCAATGCTCATTGTGAATAGCAGGTTTAATTCCTGATGAGCAAAACCCTGATGTTGGTTCCAGGGAGTTCTTGGTAATGGTGCTCATGTGTAGACATGAATCCAAGTGAATACACAGTTAAACACAAATTTGGTCACCCAGATGAAAAAGTACAAGATTCATCTCATTATTCATGCCCTTAACTATTGCTCTTCTGCATTCATAGCTGGGAATGGCAGAGCTGAGAGCAATAGAGAGCACAACATGTTCAGCCTTGGAAAGATCTTGAGTATCATTGTTTATGAATGTTTATCACATCTGTGGGTTACAAAAGTCCTTGTGATAACAATCGAGTAAATTAGGATTAAGGATTGAATATTGACTGGGGAAGGGGCTGCATAATGGAGTGGCTTGGTGAAATGCTTGTTGCTGAGCAGGCAGCATAATCTCATATACAAAACATGTATCACTTTCACTGAAACAAAACCTAACACAGTTACGCTATCAGTACCATACAATTAGATTTTTTTGTTCCTTAGTTATGTTTTTCCTTCTTTATTCACAGAGAAAGCAAACTTGATTAAGCATCCTCCAGTTGCTATCCTGCCCCTTGGGACTGGCAATGATTTAGCAAGGTGTCTGAGATGGGGAGGAGGTAAACACAAATTAAAATACAATGCATTATGTAATTAAAAGGAAAAAAATAACTTTTGCATCAAAGTGTACTCTCAACATTTGGATTTTTTTTTTTTATGATGTATGTAAAGAACTGTTATCACCTTTCCTCTTTTTGGAATTAGCTGTCTGTAAATGTTATATGAATGATTTTATAGATATTAAAGGTCGTAATCACTCTTCATACCTTGTTTGTAGCTTCTGCTGACACCAAAAAGGCTCCAAGGTGCAATAAGAGTAGTATACAGCTATTTGGTTGGCTTTTTACCATCTGTATTGCAGTTATTTCTTTGATCAATACCTTATAAAGGGAGTATTCTTAAATGGATTTTAATTGGGGCTGTTCTGAAAGGGTTACTGAAAACAGCTAATAATGGGTTTGGAGTGGTTTCATCTTTTTTAATATTCATAAATATTAAATGAAAAATGTGTCTCAGCCTCAGACTAGTTCCTTTGATCCACTCCCCTTTTCTTCTTCTACAGAGGATTCCAGACAATAAGTGCTGTGGTGCTATTTATCAGGAAATGAGAAGGCAAAGAATGCTGAAAGGAGAATATTTGTAAAGTCAAACCTTTTATACCCTTTGCATCCTTCCCTGGATGTATGGAGCCTTACTCTCAGCTCCTCCAATAACTTGTTTCCATTCAGGATTTGCATTACAGGTGACTTGAAGGAGACACAAAGAAGAAAGTCTTAGGCAAGATGCAGTCTCTGATGAAAGCATGTCAGTTTATGGGCTCACAGCCAGTTCTAGTTCAGGTCTCAGTTGGTCATTTCAGTTAAGATGTTGTGTATTTGGAACTTGGCTGTTTATTTGGAAGTTCTCAGCCTTTGTAAATACCTCTTTCTTCTGTTTCATCACAGCAAGTTTCCTTTCCAAATGTCTGCCTTGTTACCAGATAGTCTTTAGCAAATTCTCAGTAGTTTCCATGCTAGAGAACTTCTTTGTTAACCATAATGTTCTGTCAAATCATCTGAGGACCTCCTTTATTTTCTCTGTCATGACTGGTGATTGCTTATTCACATAGACTTAGGAAAGAAAAGAAGAAAAACCAACCGAAACCCCAATCAAATCAGCCTTGCTTCACTTCCTAAACAGTTCATAGAGTCATAGAATAATTCAGATTGGAATGGGTCACAGGAAGTCACTAGTCCAATCTCCTGTTCTAAACAGGGTCAGCTAGGAGAGCATTTGATTACATTAGTCAGGACCTGTCCTTCCATTCACTTCTATATATTTACCTTCAGTTTTGAGTGATTCCATCTGGACTAAAGTCGAAAAAGACAGTATGAAAATATTCTGGGTTTCATCATTCTTTGCCCGGTTGCTTCGTGGTAGACAATGCCATGACACAGATTTTCTGGAACTTCCATAGATGGGAGAGGAGACAGGGCTTCCAGGAACTAAATTGCTGGTGAGTGATCTCAAGGATGCAGACAAATGGAATTGTGCATGCTGCTGTTATGCGGTGGTTGGCAGTAACTAACAAAAACATACTATACAGCCATAAAGAAATACATCAGCAATGGGTTTTGAGCAGGGAGGTTTTGAATGGCTTTGCTTGCTGAAACTGTTAATGACCCAGGAAGTACGTATTGCTTCAATACGAAAATTTATTTCTGATTTGAAGAAGGAATGAATCCACAGATCTTAGTTATCTATTACAAAGTCATTTTGTCTGAATAGTACTCAGAGTTGATAATGTCACTTAGTAAAATACTCACACTTTTTATCCGTGCACACACACATACTGTATATTGTTTACACACTCCTGAGTATACACAAGTTTTCTAGTGAGTTTAGCATACAGTGTAGTGAACTACTACTACTAGTGAATTACCTAAAGACAAGTGAGAGCTTCTTGGTGAGTAAGATCTCTCTGCAGAGCAGGATGAGGCTCATAAAGAAGGGGTTGAAAGATGGAAAAATATTAGTTCTGCTGATAAGTCATCAGTTATGGATTTGAAATTTTGAATTTGTTATGCTAAACCACATTGAAACAATTGACAAAAAATAGTAGACAACTTTTAACCTTTCAGTCTCTGGTCAGACTTCAATCAGACAAATCTACTGTATGTCTTTCTTCCATAAATGTTGAAATCAAAGGAATTTAAATATTGAGATTAATTTCATGGCAAGAACATTTTGCAAAGTATAACCTTAGCTTTTTGGATAACTGCTATAATAATTTGGAAAATTCAAGGGATTGGCAAGTTTTGAAGATCAAATTATTTTCTCCATTAGAAATCTGATGCCCAGTGAAATCTGTAGAATTAATCTAAGTTTACATTAATTTAGCTGAGTGCAGAAATCAGGTTTGTATTTGTAATCCTTTTAATGACAGGTGCTGGAAAATTGTCAATACTTCAAACGCAATCCTGCTTTCAGGTCTTATATGCATAGTTTTAATTTTTCCAGTCATCTAGAAAGAGAAAGAATGATTAAATGAATGAATGAATGATTGATTAAATAATCATTTTCATGTTTTGCTAGGTTATGAAGGTGAGAATTTGATGAAGATCTTAAAAGACATTGAGAACAGCTCAGAGATTTTGCTGGACAGGTGGAAATTTGAAGTAATACCCAATGATAAAGATGAGAAAGGAGACCCAGTGCCTTACAACATCATCAACAACTACTTTTCTATTGGCGTGGTAAGACTTATGCTTATCCCTAAGTGATTTTCTTTTTCTGTTTTGAATGAATATTTGCATTGCATGTCTTCAAGTGAAGAATTGTTGGCTACAGATCATTTATAATGTTATTTTGCTAGTGAAATGAATACATAGACGACTGACAGCAATTTACATAAATTTACTTCCACACATTCAAACGAGAATTATTTTTCAGGACCTTCTACCTTCCCATCTATAAAGAAGATATTTGTGTTGTTCCTAATGGTTTATGAGCAGCCATAGCACTAAATTTAGATTGTCATTATGAAGGTCCTATAAAAATATAAAGGAAAATTAATCACTTAATAAGAACTCTAAGTAACCTTTTTCGTTAGTATTCACTTAATCAGAACTATTTAAAAGAACAGTGGCATTTTTTATTTCTTCAGGGCAGTTTTAAATAATAAAATAAAATAATATAAAAAACGCCCGCAAGTATCTTCTTGGTTCTGTCTTATGGGGATATTCACAGTTAGAATGAATTATGAAGAAAAGGGGTTTAAGAAGCTTTTTGTGTCCTAGGAACTGCATCTCTGGCTTGTGCTTCTCTATGGTTTCCCGTTATATCTGCTATCCACACTGTGTGTATGAGGGGAATTAGGCATGTCCAGTGTGACTCTTCAGCCTTTTGCTTTGGATATGCTTTCAAACACAAGCAGAAGGCGGACTGTGATGAGGTCCAAATTTCACAGATTGAATAGTTCATAAATAAGATTTTTAACTCGGACGCAAATGAAGTCTAATTAACTTGGGAACACTCTCTCCAATAGCTAGCTCTGGCTGTTCTGAAATCAACTTGTTCCACATACGTTAAGTGAATCTGTAGATTATTTTTTTTATAAAAATCAAAATCCACTTCTAATTCTACAATCCAGTATTTCAAAATTCTACAGAAAATTGTTTTAACGGGAAGTACAACATACAACATTGTAAATCCAAGGAAATTAAGGATGTGTGCTTAATTTATTTGATCACTGTGCTTCAGCATTAACAAGGTTCTGCCCCAGCTTTAAGTGGTTGATGAATTTTTTACATTTTAATTGCAATTCTGTAATTTTTGATACAGTGCCTATCAGCAACATGCAGAGACAGTCTATTCCTTCAAACAGTTCCTTGGCTTCCTGTACTGTGTAGCCCTAAATGCTGAAAAAACAATTAATCAGGTCTCCCCAAGGTTAAGATATTTAAGTAATAAGAAATTATTGTTGAGCTTTTTTTTGCTTTGATAGTTTGGATTTATCCTCTGTTGTTCATAGCAAGTGCAGAGAACACCTAGAAGCAACAGGAAAAAAAACAGAAATTAGTATATAGAAGTATATAAATGCAAAGCATATGCACCAAAACCAGTGCAAAATTAAGTTCATAAATCAGAGAGAAAGTGCAAAGGAAAGTCTTTGGTTACAGGAAAAATAATACCACGATAACAGAAAATGCTCAGCACAGGGGGACATATTCAGTGACTTTGTCAAAAGGGAATATTGATGCTAAAGCTCACAGATGAAGAAGGAAAATGAATGTGTTATACTAAGGAAACAAGCAAGAAGTGAGAGGGAGGAGGGATGAGATTTTACACCTATATATTAATACAGTGCAATTTAAATGGTTTCTAAAATGTAGAGTACCACCACATGTAAAGACACAGCACAGAAACAGGAAATTGAATGCCAAGTAGATACTGGGACATCTGTGAATGTGCTAGGCTTCAAAGAATCCTTTCGCATTTTTCAAGGGAAGAAAACAGAATTACATTCAAGAAAAAAAGTTGAACTGAAATTATACAGTGGCAAGATCATAATACTATTAAGGACTATGTAAATTACTTGTAGAATACTGCAGGAAGATAGCAGGCTCTATACACCAGGCTCCATGGACAACCAGAAGACTCAATTTTCAGTTAAAAAGTTTAAATTCATAAATTTAATAACACAAAACTTATGATTCTTCACATAATAGAAATGTGAACACCAGAAAATTATACCAGGAATGGACAATACAATATGTTGCATTGAGAAAAGCTTCTAAAATTGTACAATCGCATTTTTGAAGGAGTAAGATCTGCCAAGTTTGTCATACATGGGAATATATAAAATGCCTGCTTCTCAATTTCGTTAGTGTGAATAAGACAAAGCAAATAGAGAAAATCAGAAATTGGATTTGAGACTTGCTAAAATTATGTAATTCATATATTAGGTAGCATTCATAATAACTCAATAACTCTTGAAAAGGCAGGCAATATGTTTGCCTATGTAAATAGACAACTCAAACTTGGCTACGAATAAAGTAAACCTAATTTCATAAAAGCAAAATTGTTTTCAGTACTCAGTGCCTAATACAAACTTTGGCAAGTACTGAATTGGGAAAGCAATGATCTACCACCATGTTGCACACCAGTCCATAGCTGCTGGTACCCAAGAACATAACTGGAATCAAGCCTATAGCAAAAAAAATACTAGTGCTGCCTAAAATGTTATATTAAGAGAAACCTAAAGGATTGGTATCATAGATTATGTTGGTCATAGAACCATAGAAAAATCATTGAGTCATCTATCCATTCCTTTCCCTAAGGTAGTGTCGGTGGCACTTGCCTAATTCCTGGCAGATGTTTATCTGGTTTGTCTCTAGACATTCCCAGTAAAGGAAATTTGGCTGTGATGATCTGTATTACTTTGTTGTCCTTACTCTGAAATCTCCTTGTCATATCTAACCTAAGTAGTCTTGGTGTAGCCTGGGACCAGGTAATTTTGTCCTGTACAGAGTGGAGAAGGAAAACAAATTATTCCATTCCTCTGTTAAACTACCTGTTACTTACTAAAAGCTCTATCAGATCATCTGTTAGTCTTGTGTTCTATAGCCTTTCTATCTCGAATTTGTTCAACCTCACAGCAAATGTTTTCTAGACATCTGATCACATGTGCTGCTTTTATCTGTGTTCAAATAAAACGTGAGAATTAATCCAGTTACTCCCTTTGCTCCATATCTCTCTGGAACCATAGTGCTCCCAATTAGGCACAGTGCCGGAGTTGGTGCCTTATCAGCCCTGAGTGGAAAAGAGGAATTAATTCATGTCTTGCAGAGGATACCTTTATGAAGAAAAATCAGCCTTCTTAATATTAGGATGAATTTCTTTATTCATATTTGACTTGTGATTCATTGTTAATTTCAGATACTATTCTGAAGAACCACTACTTCATCTCTCATTTGGGTTTTTCATAGGTGATTCTTCCTGCCTACATGCAGAAACTTACACTAAAGTGAATTACACCCTCTTTTCATTTTTACTGTTTCTCCAAGGCACTGTGAAAACTAATGGTAACCTACAATATATTGCACATTGCCTCTTAGATTCATGCTAAATAATAAGCACAGTCTCTAATCCGATATGAATAGAACCTGCTGTATGAATTTTGTAACAGTATGGCAGAAATTGTATTTGACAACAAATAATCTCAGTGTATACTTAGAAAGGCCAGGGGAGTAAAACTCAATAAAATTGTGCTTGGCATGGTCCTCTTACTGCTTTAGGACCATAATTCAGGTTAGAAGGGATTTCAGGAAGTCATTAGTCCAATCTCTTGTTCTAAGGAGGGTCAGCTATGACAGCAGGTCACATTGCTCAGGGCTTTATCCAGTTGGGTCTTAAAAACCTCCAAGGATGGAGATGGCACAACCTCTTTTGGACAGCCTGTTCTGGTGCTTGACTGTCCTTATGATGAGGATGTTTTTCCTTATATCCAGTCTGAATCTCTCTTGTTTCAACTTATGTTCTTTGTCTCCCATCCTCCCATTATGTGCCACTGTGAAGAGCCTGGCTTTGTCATCTTGATAACCTCCTCATAGGTACTTGCAGGCTTCTGTTAGATCTCCCTGAAGCCTTCTATTCTAGCCTGTGAGGCCAGGTCATCCAGCCAGTCTTTTTTTTTTAACCTATTTTCCACCAATCAAGACCATAATATCCCAACTTGGATACAAGAATGCTGGGGTAGACAGTGTTCAAAATCTCGCTGAAATTGGGCATGACATCCACTGCTCTCTCCCCATGTACTAATCTGGCTTTTTTTATCATAGGCAGCAATCAGAAGGCAATTTACCCGTTGGAAGGAAAAAGATGCACTAAGTTGAAAAGGAATGTTTTGCAGTACCATGTGCATGTGAAAAGTTTGATTAACATGTTCAAGCCAAAAAAGGCATTTTTTCTACAGCAATCTCAGAGCTCTGATACGTACAAAAGTGTATGTACTATACTATGTATAAGTACAGGGAGAAAAGTATGAAACAAAGTGAGATGTAGTAGCTGAATGATTATGTGCAATGTTCAACCTGATGAAAGCACAAAGCACAGAAGAACCATACAAAGCATAAGCCAAGCTGTGTGTCAGTTTCAAAGCAGGAGCTAGAAAACATCTAAGAGCAATGTAGAATAAGATAAAGATTTTCCAAGTGCTCACATCCATCATTCTGTCAGGATGGCAAGATACCAGGAGAGAAGTTCCATCTGCTTCCCAATAATACTGGAGTCACTGAAACAAGCTAAATATCCAAGAAAAATGTGTATTAAAGCAGTCAAGTCATATTTGCTTTAAAAAACAACCCCTCCTCCCCCCAAAACCAAACCAAACCAAAACAAAAAAATCCCTCCTCAAGAATATAGTAGGACCATCTGAAAATGGAAGCTTGTCTTGGAAAGTCACAGATTCGGTGAGCTGGACAAATATAACTGATAATATTAGGGAACAAATAAGCAGGCATGATAGAGACAGGAAACATCAGGCCAACTGTCAGACAGTGGCAAGTAAAATTACTGACATATTTTGGAGAAAATAAAAAGTTATTTTCCCCATAATCTACACAACCTGCTTTAGTAGTCGTACATTCATGCGCTAGGTTGATATTAAACAGTGATCATCAAAGATAGAGTTCAATAATGTTAGTATTGGTGTGTTATCCCAGACTCTATTCTAGACAGTGGGCTTGCAATACAT